TTCCATTCTCCTCTGGGGATCTTCGGCACGCACGCACATGCGCCTGGCGTGAGTTTTAAGCCACCAGGTCTGGGACGCGAACAGCCGTCGACTATGTGGGAATCCAGAGACATAGCCATTATGCTAATTGCTGGTTCCTCCAGTTCGCCTTTCTGAAGTACGAATCCACCTCCTGCTTGCATTGCTGAGGAGGGACTGGATCTTACCCACTCAGGACCCCAGCACCTGACGGGGCTTATGAGCCAACATCAGGAAGCCAGACGGTGGCAGAGCCCCCGGGAGCATGTCTTCCGTCACTCTAGCTTCCCGCTGCTGGACGCCCCCTCCGTCGCCCGAGCTTCCTGCCGGTTCCCCCCATCCCCCGGAAATGCACCAGTGGAAAGGGTCTCACGCCTCTGTCTTGCAGATCTCCAACCTCTACCTGTATGACAGTGTCCTCATGCTGGCCAACGCCTTCCACAGGAAGCTGGAGGACCGCAAGTGGCACAGCATGGCGAGTCTCAACTGCATCCGGAAGTCCACCAAGCCCTGGAACGGGGGGAGGTCCATGCTGGACACGATAAAAAAGGTGTGTGGATGGCGCCGCCACCCAGGCCAGGCCCAGAGCAGGCCCGCCTCACCACCTGCCTGCACCCCAGCAGCTGGTCGGGAGCGGGCTCTGTGTCTGCCCCGCAGGCCCCCCAGACCTGTCTCCTCGGCACCACCTGCCCCAGCGTTGGGAGGCTGGCTGGGCGCGCTCCAGGATGGGTGTTCTTATGTCTGTACTCTAATATAGGGAAAGCGGGCTCCAGAGAGGTCAGATAAGTCGCCAGGGTCACAGGTGAGTAAAAAGTGGAGCCAACCACCTCTCCCCTTTCTGCCAATGGGCCTCGGTGCAGCTGCCCTCCATGAGAGAGGCAGTCTCAGTGGGCATCGCGCACTGATCAGCAGGGCCTCAGCATGTTTGTAGCTGCACATGTGTGGACATGCTGTATGCCCTTGCGTGTCCCGTGTGCTGAGGAATGACTCCAGGTGAGAAGGCTAGCTTTGAAGTGAATCAAGTAACCCATGGAAGACTTGTCAGAATGAATCGGCCTTTAGAGGCTTCAAAGAAGCATTTACAAGGATGTGCACGAGGAGTTCGAGTGGCTGTGAGTTGCATGTGGCTATGTTCTGATGTTGCCTTCAACTTACTGCAGCCCCCTGGGCCAGCTCAGTCTCTGGGCCCCGCCAGGCTGCTGGAGATACATCTAGATGAGGCCCACCCCAGGCTTCAAGAAGGAAGGGTGGCTCATCATGGCTCACTCAGGCCCCTGCTGCCGGCTCCTCGTATGGAACCCACCGAGCTCAAGAGGGAAGCCCGGCTGGCATGCACCCTGCCAGCCTGTGCCAGCCCCATGCTTTGCACACAGTTCCCCTCCAGTCCTGCTGGGGTCTAATGGACTTCAGCTGGAGCTGGGAGACAGACCTGGCTTGCCCAAGGTGGCACACAGGTGGCACAGCCAGGACCTGAGCTGGGGTTAGCCTCCGCGCTAGGCTGCTGCCCACAGCCTGATGTGACCCCTGATGACCTTCAGCTGCTCTCTTCAGCCATGCTCCCGTGAACCCTGGAGTGGGTCAGTGGACTGAGGTTGGGAATGGGACTCTAAACATGGTGACCGCGTGGACAGGTGCAGGCCTTGGGGATCCGCTGTGAACCATGGCCTGGGGTTCTAGTCCTTCTCTGAGGCCCAGGCCTACCAGTGACTGTGCCTCTGTGGCGGCCTGCCCACAGCCTCCTCAAAGCCTGACTGCCCCCTTCTGGTGACCACTTCCTCCTTCTTCATAGCCTTTGGGACGTTATCCTCTCCCCTGACTGTATCTGCTCTCACCTCTCCTGCAGGGCCACATCACCGGCCTCACAGGGGTGATGGAGTTCCGGGAGGACAGCTCGAACCCCTACGTCCAGTTTGAAATCCTTGGCACGACCTACAGTGAGACCTTCGGCAAAGACATGCGCAAGGTAAGCCTCGGTCCTGCCGCTCAGCGCTGCTGCGGGGCTTGGGTCCCTGCACAGGCCACCCGCGGGAGCGCCCATTGGCTTTTCCCACCGAGCTGCTCTGGAGGAGAGCTCCCAGTGTGTGCTGGGAGGTGGTGCAGGGGGCGTCAAGGACCGAAGTGCTGCTGCTGCCGTCTGGCACACCCGGGCCTGCTGCGTGGACCAGGGCAGTGGCCAGTCGGCTTTCCCAGAGAAGTGGTGGAGTTGGCCCAGTGGCAGGGACACGTGGATTGTGGCTGGGGCAGGAGAGGGAGGTGATAGCCAGAGTGTCCTGCAGGCCTAGAGTGAGACGAGGCCATGAATGGGCACGAGCCCTGAGGAGCGTGGGAAGCGGGAGGCTGGAGCCTAGTGGAGACAGCGAGAGGCAGACAGGTGAGGAGCTGGGGGGTGGGGGGGTCCTGCTGATGCCGGCGGCAGCCAGGGAGGTACTTCCAGGGGCATTTTGCCTCTTTTTCCTCCTCTTACTGGAGATGGACGACGGTTTTTCAGCACGGAGAGTAGTGGGGAAGCGGCCTTTTACCTGGAATAGAGACCCTCAGAGTTAAGGGGGTTCTGCGGCGCCAAGAGCCCAGTAGGGGTCAGGACCAACAGGTCAGGAGGGACCTCAGATGTGGTCACGGCAAGGCAGAGGAGCCGACGGTGGGCGCACAGGGCCAACTGGCCCAGCTGGTGTGGGGTTTTCTAGGAGTACCTGTCCAGGGTGCCTGGGTCCACGTTGGGGCCAGAGGTGGGAGTGCCCATGGTGAGAGGGGCCGTGAGGCTCAGCCTCCCAGGAGAGGGCTCACACGTTAACAGGGGGTACTGTCGGACACAGGCCCGCACCCTCGCGTATCTCTGTACTTGGGAGGAAGACGTCCCTACTGACGACAGTGTCTGCAGCTGAAGGACAGCCCTTCCATAGCGAGCTGTCAGCGGGGCTGGTGAGGTCTCAGCGAAGGGCCCTCTAGCCTGGCCCCCAGCACTGGCTAGTGCCAGAGGGCAGGCGAGTAGTCAGTGATGTTGGGGTGCTGAGGATCTGGGGGCCTGCTTTGATTTTGCTCCTGGAGGACCCAGGGGTAGGGTGTGCGCGTGGAGCGGTGGAGGGCGTGAGAACTGAGCAGCGAGGAGGGTGAGGTGCAGAGCTCAGCCACACAGCCTAGTGAGACCCCCGGCCTCCCAGGGGAGCTGCAGGGCGGTGGTCCCTGAGTGACGGGAGGCAGGGGCTTCCAGCCCAGCACGTGGCAGGAGATGCAGCCGTGGGCAGTCACATAAATTACGGGAGGCTCGTGGTTGTGGCGAGCGACGGCGGCCACACATGGCTTACTGGCAGTCCGGAGCTCGGAGGTCTGTGGTGGTGTAGAGGGGTCGATGTGTCCTGGGACACACTGCCAGGCCGGGCTGTGACCTGCACTGTCAGGGCAGTCAGACTGGCCTAAGCTGTCCGCTAGGGCTTCTGTCGCTGGAAGGGCTGGCGGAGGTAGGGGACGGTTGGTCAGCGCTGGTCTGGGTCTGACCACAGAGAGACTGACTTGCACGGGACGGGGACTGCCGCCTGCTGAGGGGAGACGGGGCGGGGTGCTTCTTCAGTCACTCCGGCTTGCCGGGGGTATGCTTGCTGAGCGTGGCAGTCTGCCAAGGCAACCACGCATTTCTGCCCCTCGCCTTGTCCCCAAGTGGCCTCATCCCAGCGTCCTTCTGATGTTAGTGACAGGCCTTGCGTGCTGGCCTTTCACCCCTCCCACCCCTCTCCTCTAGCTCAGGCCCCCACCGTGGTCCACAGAGAGGGTCGTACTGTGACTATGGGGATCCCTAGCAGCTGATCCCTAAGCCCCACGCCTGGGGTCCTGCTGGCCACTCCAACTGCCCTCGAGATTAGGAGGAGTGGGGTCCTCCACTTCCTGTTCCAGGTGTCTGGGCCTTCTGGTTGCCAAGGCAACGCTCCTCAAAAACCCTGTAGCCAATGGGAGTGGGAATCTCAGTATAAGGAGCTTCCAAGCAGGAGGCATGAATGTAATTGAGTTGGAAGGGAAGCTGATTTTCAAGTGGGCTTTATTTTAAAATGTATCCTTTTGTCATTTTAAAATCTGCCCTTAATAACTGCATATCCCAGTTGTTATCTATCTGCCTGGCAGCTTATCGCTCTTAAGGAGAAGTTATCTGGAAAGCAGGGAATGGGATTTACCGTAGCAAATGTTCTCATTCAGGCCCAGGGTGCCTCAAAGCCAGGGTGGGGGCTCCAGGGTGAAGCAAGGAGACGGGCTTAGGACAGGGTGCGGCGGACCGAGGGCAGCTGCACTCTGGCTCTTGGGGGAAGATACAGCTGGAGGGCGAGGGCAACTGGGAGTGAAAGATGCCCCTGGAGAAGATGACTGACGGTGGTGGGGCTGGGGTCGGTCCTGAGCCACTCAGGCCGCGCAGACACCGCTGCCTTAGCGCAGCTCCCGTGGCCACGCCGACGCAGACCTGCTAGTGGGGCTGCGGTATGGTAGCGGGGTGCCGTCATGTGTGCCGGACGAGGGTCCCTCAAAGATTGTACGTGTCGTATACTTTAACCGAGAACGATCCACAAGCGAAACCAAAGACCAAGTCACTTCTTTAAGATTTAAACCAAGAAGAATCATTGAAATTAGGGAATAAATGGGTATTTTCTTAAACTAAATACCCTAGGGGGACTTCTCCGGGAGGGTGAGTCACCCCAACATTTAGATGAAGTGCCATCAGAAGACTGGATTCCTCAGCCCCTTCATAGGAGGGAAGCCGTGGGTGACTGCCCTTCACTGCAGGGCGCTGGACAAATACTAATTCAATGATCTCATCCAGGACTGTGTTCCCGTCGAGGGCACGCTGGATGGCAGAATCAAAGGTTTATGTCACCAGCCTGCCGTGTGACTCCAGGCCCTGTGTTGTTCTTGGAGCTGTCTGGCATGGGTCTGTCCCCAGGGTCAGGGTTTGCTGGAGTCACTTTCAGCTCCCATGGGAACTGGCCTTGACGTCCGTCCTGGGGTCCAGGGCTCTTCTGTCTGAGGTGTGTTTGAAGGTCTCAGATGGTCCCGGGACCTAAACAATTGCTGCTTGGCCTGTGTCTTCAACAAAATCTTCAGAGGCGGGTCCCACGAGGTTGTCCATGTAAGTGCCCCAGCTCATGCCCTGAGCTGGGGTGGGTCTATTAAAGGCCCCTGCAGGAAAGCTGTGGGGTGGGGTAGTTGGGAAGCTGTCTGGTGCAGCAGAACTGTGAGCAGCCACTGTGTGTGACACCCATACTGTCCCTTTAACGTGGGCCTCTGCTTCCCGGCACTGCCTTGTCTGAGCTCCAGTCACCTCCTGTCTCTGAGCCTTCGTGTTCTCGGATGGAAGGCACAGATAAAGTGACCCTGCGTACTGAGGAGCAGCGACAGGCACACGGCGGCACTGCCGCACCAGGCGTGGGCACCAGCTTCGGACAGGGCTGTTCGCCCTCTCTGAGTGCGACTACCCCAGAGCCATGAGAGCAGGAGCGGAGGCAGGCCTAGAACACCGCTCCCGCCCTCCGGTGCCTCAGACTGCGGCCCCCACACCACGTGGCAAAGCTCCAAAGCTCCAGGTCTAGAAGGGAGCCCCCTCTGGCAGCGGAGAGGGTGCTGCTGGGATTGCTCAGCTGTGCCAGGTTGGGGCCCACCTCTCCTTCCAGCTGCACAGGGGCTGTCTACTCCTTGTGAAGCCCAAGAGCTGGAGGAGGCTGAGGGCCGTCCTGCAGAGAGACTTGGAGTCAGTGCAGTTTGGTGCCCATGTGGCCAATACAAGAAGTGTCAGGGCGCCTGGACTGTGACGCTGGCTAGAACCCAAGGGCGTTTTCCATGACCTGCTCGTCCAGGCTGCCCACCCTCCTCTGTCCTGATGACATCCGTGTCACTCCTTTCTACTGAAGCAGAGTCCCCGGCACAGCAAGGCTCTGAGAAAACTGCCAGCCACCCTCAGGCCCTCAACCTCATCTCCCACGTGGGTGTCACTCGATTCACTTGGCCTGCTGGGGGCAGTGGGTCTCTTTGGGCAGGAGGGTGGGGACGTGGGCGGGGCATCTGGGGAGCCTTCGGTTTGCTCTCTCCATGCCCCCTGGGCAGGAGACTTGTAGTGGCGCCAGGCCACATGGCTGTTCTCTGCTCCTCGCTAGAGCAGGGCATCGAGTTAGGACCAGAGACCCCGAAAGCCTGCTCAGGAGGAATCTTAGTGGGACCTGGTGGGAGACAGCTGTGGAAGCTTAAACATGGTGCTTGCGGTCGGCATAGGCGCAGAGCTGGGAGGGGAGCCCTGAGGCTCTCCCCACAGTCTCCTCTGTCTCCCGCATCTCTGTGGTTTTCTGTGCAGCTCCTCTGGGGAAAGCGAGGCTCAGGGACCTGGAGGCTCGGTGTGGGAGCAGCGTTGACAGGCATGCGCTGTGTGGGGTTGGAGGCCAGATCTCGGGGCCGGGGCTGGGCCTGGGCATGCAGAGGACCCAGGCACCCTTTCTGAACTTGAGGTGCTTCTGTTCTGTGACTCCCTTCCTCCCCTTGGGCTCATGTTCCAGGCCACCAGCCCAGAGTCCCCTCCGCTGGGCCTGGAGCCTGCGATGCTAAGCCCTACCACTGCCCTTGGTCCAGCCTCCCCGTTCCAGCAATCACCCAGGGAGCGGGGAGCTCCAGCCCCTTTCACTGATTTAAGATGCTACTTCTGGGAACCAGCAGTTAGCGTAATGGCTATGTCACTGGACTCCCACGTAGTCGACCATGGTTCGCGTCCTGGACCCGGTGGCTTAAACTCACGCCGGGCGCGTGTGTGTGCGTGCCCAAGATCCCAAGAGGAGAATGGAGGAGAAGGGATTGCGGCATGACCATCCCCCCGGGGGGTGATTTCTCGCTTTCTGTCTCTATGTCTCTGTCTGTCTGTCTGGTGAGCACACGCGCTGTATAGCGAAAACCTCTCAAAAAAAAAAAAAAAAGATGCTACTTCTGTGTACTCCGTCAGTCTCGACT